GTTGTTACTCTGCTTGAGGCAGAATAAGGTGTTTAATGTGTTGCCTGAGATTCCATGTTAAGTTGTTATCTACAGGTAATGTCTATTTCAAAGGGTAAAGCGTTTACTTTGTACAAACAATCTTTTGTGTGAAATCTCACGAGTAATGTGTGATTTGGTGAGAGTGTAAGTGCAGCCTTTACATGTTCATAATTTAACTGTAATGTGTATTTTCTATGTGTACTAATTATTATTGTTGTAATGTTTCATGCGTGCAATATTTAGTCTTTTATTTTGAAGTCCAAGCTCACATCTCGTTATGCTGTTCTCGCGTGAGTTAAAGAGCGAGAACATGAGAAGCACCCTCAGAGTAAGATGCACGGATACTTACAGCTCCGTTAGTTTTGTATTCTTATACATATATAAGTTGTGAAGAGAACTGAAGAATACTTCCCTCTGTATACAGAGCATGCAGCCCAACGAGGTATGTTGTTGTGTTTGTATTACTTTTGTTATTACCTTGCTAGTTATCTCACATGCTGTGCATGTTATTGTGTGTCTAACACAAAACTATGTTGTCATTTATACTGTTTGTTTGTGTAGTTTTCACGGTGGATTCGGAGGAATAAACCCGCTATGAGAAAGCCACTTGTGTCTGCCTGTGCTTCGAGGGAATTACAGTAGGTCAGACTCAGAGGCAGAGTACTGACTGGCTGGGCTGCTCCCGTCTCTCCCGGCTTGCCTCCCGTCTCTCCCGGCTCGGCTCGCGGCTTGCCTCCCGCCGCTCCCGGCTCGGCTCGCCCCCCGGCTTGGATCACGCCGCTCCTGTCTCGATTCCCGGCTTGCCCCAGGCACTGCCCGGCTTCGTTGTAACCTTATCTTGGCAGGTGTTCGTCGTGGCATCGGGATTAGTTTGAATGTTTGCCTTGAAAAAAGTCTGTATATCCATTTTCGACCGCCAATGTACACTATACTATACAGTAGCTAATTTTGCATTTGAAATTAGCGGGCTTCGCTGTCGGATCGTGATGTGATTGGCCACAGAGGGGTTGGCCAATCACATCACGATCCAACAAAGATGCCTGCGTGTGCAACTGCACGCCGTCCGGTGGCTGCATTGCAGCGCTAATGTCAAAGAGTCAAAGACATACATTATGTTTAAATTTTACCAGGATGCAGTGACAACAATATTTGGGAAGGCTTAGCCTAGCCTACAGTACCCGCCGCCCCTGGCTGCAATCGTTTGTTAAAGGTCACATGTCATGGCCATTTCCACTGATCATAATTCCATTGTTGATGTCTACTAGAATAGATTTATACTGTGCAATTTTCCAAACTCACATTGTTTCGCATACAGCATCTCTGTAAACTACGTGTATTCACTCTCTCCACTAAACGGCTCGTTGCAGCTCTTGCCCCCCCCCCCTCCCTGTGAGCCCAGTGTGCTCCGATTGGTCGGGACCAGTCGGGGTGTTGTGAATCGCGCTGAGCTCCGTGGAGGTGTGATTTCCTTGTTTAGCGATACACAGCGAAACACAGCCAAACTCATCCTGAGCACACACAAAGTCACAGCCGAAGTAAAAACAATAAGTGTGGCTTGATATTGAGTAAGAAAAGGGTTGATAAACGCTGTGAGAATGGGTCTGCAGAGAGAATTTCGCTGCGATCCCAACTGTCTGTTATCAGCCAGGGAGGAGAGATCAGAAGAGCTGCTTGCACTGAGTGATTGATTGATTGATTGAAAAGTTTATTAACAGCTTGTATATTGGGTACAGTACAGTACAGCTCAAAACATACAATTGTTAAGGGGATGCAGACCAGAGAAAGACTTTCGTCTTGTTTACATCAGGGTCCCCCATTTCCAATTCATCATGTCATTTAAGACATATAAGACATATTTGACATACAGATGGCTTATATGAGTGTGTGAGGAAGTCCGTGGATTGGTCAATTTGGACCAATCAGCGGGGGCTTAACGTAACGGCTCCGCGGACGTAACGTAACGGCTCCACGGATTGGTCCATTTCGGTCCGGGCACGACATGACATCAGATGTCCCCGGAAGAATCAAATGGATGATGACATTTCACCAACGAGGCGTTTTGGGGAGGTATTTTCTGTTTTAGAGTTTACTCGCTACATGGTGTACTTTGAGGGTTTTGACTCTGCACACCATTTACATGCATAAAAACCTTCATAACACACAAGGGGACGGGTAATAACCGGAAAAGCATGACATGTGACCTTTAACAGAAAACCGGAAGTCAAGCTTACTGGTGATATTCCAGAGACTTCTTCCGGAATAGCTTTTCAAAATAAACTTTAGCATCAACGTTAGCCACAGGCGAATGCTAACCGGAAATGTTTTCACAATAAAACAGTTTTAAGATTACTGTATAGTTTAAAACTAAATTACATCATTAAACATTGATTTTAATTTCTTACAATAGCTTTTAACAGACGGGCGCTGTTTGGGGCGTACAAAATACTACGCAGACAGCGCTTGCTAGGAGATCGATCAATTTTATTTGCTAAACTATGCGGTGCTATGACATCCACGTAAATTACACATCACAGCAATGAGGCCACATCAATTAAACCAGGATACATCCTTTACCATCAAACTGGATCTAAACACAGCTGCCTGTGTGCGTTTGATAAATACTTTCTGATTTTATATTTAATAAAGGCTATGCTACTTATTAGCTACATGGCCCTAACGTGTAAAGCTATACAAGCATTTGTACCAGTGCTTTTCACAAGTAGACTCTTGCAGGCCAGAGTAGCTGGAGTGAGTCAACAACAACAAAAATACATATCTGAGAAGTGATCAGGATTAACAGAAAGAGGAAAAGGAAAAGAGAGTTCACTGAAGAGACCAGGAGGGTCAGAGCAGGAGAAGAGGAGGAGATGAAGACATTAGTGAAGAAGAAGAAATGTATGTGAGGAATAAAGATGAAGTATCAGAAAGAGGGCCAGAGGAGACTCCAGCTGGACCACATGGCATGTTTTTATTCTCCTTGTATACATATTCCATTACAGCAGCACAATCTAGCGGCTCTTAGTATTGAGTATTGACACATATTTTTTTAAATGTGTTGCTGCACAGGTCACCTTTATCTCTCTGAAGAGATGGGTGATGTCATTTGTGTACTCAATTATAACTAAGTACTTTTACTGTACTTACAGTAAATAGAATTCTAGGGTATCCTGAGTATTTTCTGCTGTTTTATACTATTTTTGTTTGTTTGTCTGAACACCTTGTTTCTCTTGTGCATTAAGAACACTTGTGTTAGGGCATGATTTAACAATAAATAGGTTATATATACAGTATACAATACCACGTACTGTCTGCCCTCCCATGCCACCCTGGCATGACCTCTTGCCCCCCCTTTGCCACCCCATGTAAAATGTTCTAGAACCGCCACTGGTGCAATATAAATACAGAAAGACAAAAAAAACGTTCTGCCTGTGTGTGTGTGTGTGTGTGTGTGTGTGTGTGTGTGTGTGTGTGTGTGTGTGTGTGTGTGTGTGTGTGTGTGTGTGTCTGGCTTGCTGAGATGTTAGTAAAAGGTGGAGCGAGATCATCACATGTGTACATACCACAGGAGTGGCGATACACAGAGGTATGTTGTGTAGTTGCGTATGTAGGCTACTCATTATTAATGCTGTCTTAGTGAGCTCTAGGACACCTTGAAAGATAAATTAACATGCGTGTTTTAGTAAAGTGCTGATAAATGTCGCTAGTCACCTCAATGTAGCGCTGATAATGCAGCATGTCCGAAAACTGTCCAATCAACAAGTCCCTGGCAGTCCATATGACTTCATATGTATCATATGTGCAACCCTTAATAAGGGAGTATGAACATGAAACGATTGAGCTGAAAGGCCACAGTGTATCATCCATTCCCTCAAAGTAAACGGGCCACTTTAGGGTGTCATGATGACCTCAGCTGCTGTGAACCCTTTAACATCGAACAGGGGTGAAGGCTGGTAGAACAAATGGTGTGAAGATGATAAATGAGCTATGCAGCAGCAGTGGGACTGTGTGGGGCAGCCAGCCATACAGTACAGCTGAGGTTAGCCTGGATTTACTGCAACAACAGATCTCCCTCTGCCCCCAACCCCTCCCCCCCCCCCCCCAGTCAGCACCTTAGCTACTGGCTCTGTTACAGAGGGGGGTTGTGCACTGCCTCTGTGGGGGGTAGGGAGTGTTGGGTGGGACAGGGAGAGAGGAGTGGAGCTGTGGCAGGACGAGGGGGGGATGGGGGCTGTGCGGTGGTGCAATGCACAGAGCACATGCTTTGGTAACCTGCCGCTGCAGCACACAACAGTTATGTAACAGCTGAAGGACTGCAACCATGAGAGATGTGCTGGGGAGGGAACCTTTCCCCACAGCAGCAGGTTATATATCTGATTTGTATTAACAACAGAACTCTGGCCAGATGTTATATGTGTTTAAGCTATCAAAGCAATAAGGGGCCTTGGGAGCATTTTCCATAAAGCAGTGATGTGTTATCAATAGTAACCCTCAAGGAAGACTGACATAGAGCCAGGCTCCTGCACTAAAAATGATAATCTCACTAACAACAACAACAACAACAACAACAACAACAACAACAACAACATAAAGGAGCATTAGTAGTGAGCTTCTGGACCACAATGGCAGGAAGGCTGGGAATGAGGAGACACTCAGAGTCAGATAGAGTCTGACATCTGACTGCTATGGAAATAGTGATAAGTACTGGAAGAGCTGGTGCACAGATAAGAGTGGTGTGACCTTTAGGGAGCAAAACAAGCACACAGCTCCTGTTGTTGTGAGGGGGGTGGGGCTTTCCCATCCTGATTCTTCATCATTTAACTATGCACGACAATTTACCCAAATGTCTTTTGAACAAAGATAGAGAGCATACAAAAAAAACGTTGCCCTATACATTCAATAGTATTAAAATGGCTTAAGATTAAGTTGAATTGATCCCCCCTTTATACATATTTGTATACACACTACAAATACCCCTCCAGCTAGCAGTCCATCACTCCGTTTCTACCCAAGCCTTCCAAGCTCAGCTCACGCACGCGCCCACGTTCTGCCTCCTCCACTTCCCGAGCGCATAACCGCTCTGCATGTCTCAGCTGCTCGAATTTAAACTCTAGTTCCATCTTACTCAGCAAAACCTGGTTCTCCGAAACCGGGTCACATGTGACTACCTCCTCCTCCTCAGGTTTGCCCACAGAGCACTCCATAACCTCCTTGGCGGTCAAAGCCTCCACCAGCGCTAACCGCTGCTGCTGCTTTTTCATGCTCGGGGCAAGCCTGACACCGTAATGCTCTGCTATCCCCGATAATTCCTCCTTAGTGCACAAGCCCAACAAGTTGACAGTTGGCCTAGCCACAAAATCACATACCTTCACAGGCATACCTGCCCTAGTACCGTCGCACCGGGGAAGGAAGAAACTAAAGAACCAACCCCGCTTCCACCAGCATATACGACCAACCAATTAACATATACACAAAAAAAAAAAAAAAAACCGGCTTCACCCTACACGTCTGTACAGTCTGTTCTTAATAACTCTGGCCACCGCTCCCCTACCGCTATACACTAAATAGAGAAGAGCACCGGTATGACCTTCGGAAGCATCCACACTCAAAATTATTCGCAAGAGATTAACAACTGTCGTGTGTTAAAAAAAAACAAAACAACCTAAAGCCCATCCCTTAAACGTTTCCATCCCTACACTCACTATCAGACCCCCTATATAACTAACTAGCTGACATACGCCGGCCTAGGAGGAGCCTGACAGGGTCTTCCTACTACCCCGACCAGCATAGACGGTATGTCTACCAGGCGAAGGAAGGAACCATAGAAAATGGTCCAGCTGCCCTAGCTGGATGAAAACGCTCCTTATTGGAGAATTATTTACCAAGAGGGTATAAAACATGGGCCACACACACGACACTGTCAACCATAATTCAAAGTGTGGACTAAGCCACCACCAAATTCCTGCTCAAATCAGTTTGGCACGAGCCCCCATATTACGTTACCATTGACTGTTAGCAGGCTCAATGTCGAGTCAAGGCAACATAATAAAGGAGACTGTAGCCGAAGTAATCAAAAAATAACTTAATTAATAATTACCACCATGGTTGAACAAAGGAAATATAAAGTAATGACAGACAAGAACACATACTGCACAGACAGGATCAGCCCCAGACAAAGGGGAAGGCAGAATACTTATACATGAGGTAATGACGAGACAAGACACACCTGGGTTAATTACAAATGGGTACACCTGGAGGGGAAACGATAAGGACTACAGAACCATAACGGGAAACTGCAGCTAGACATGACACATCACACTAGGAGCGCCTGATCAGGGCACAAACACATAACACTAACACAGAAAAGACCTGTCTATGCTGCCCCAGAACGCCTCGTTGGAGATTTCTCATTTTCCATTGTTTACTTCCTGGACACTCTGACCTGGGGATACCCAAAGGCCACGCCCTTTGCCAGCCTTTCACGAAACAAAGCTTCCCAAACCTTTCAGCGATGCATGCCGGATATGTACAGCGTAGGGCACTGAAGAACGATGCTGTTCCTACTTTGTTTGGACCAGCGGGAGATTCGGGTACACAACCTGTAAGTATTCATTGTTGTTTGTGTATTTATGATGTTTAAAACAAACAAGGTATCTACCACAACTGTTTAAATGGGTAAACGTTTTTCGGGCTACTACGTTGGGATCACGGAGAAATGCTCTCCACAGACCCATGCTCACAGCGTTATAAACCTTTTTCTTACTCAATATCAAGGCACACTTATTGTTTTTACTTCAGCTGTGAGTGTTTGTGTGTGCTCAGGATGAGTTTTGCTTGTTCTAGCTGTATCGCCGACACAGAAGCCTGTCTGCTCCTCTCAGCAGTCCGCAGCAGCTGCGAGCAGCAACGAGCCTCTCACGTCGCGACCAATCAGAGCACACTGGGCTCACAGGGAGGGAGGGGGGGGGGGGGGCAGGAGCTCCAACAAGCTGTTTAGGACAGAGAGTGAATACACAGACTTTACAGAGATGCTGTTTGAGAAACCAATGTGAGCTTGGAACATTGCACAATATAAATCTATTCTAGTAGACCTCCACAATGGAATTATGATCAGTAGAAATGGCCATGACATAGGATCTTTAAAAGAAGACCTTAACCTAAAGTATTCTTTAATGTTTAAATAAAGGTTAATTTGTTGTTCTGTTTTGCACATCCTCATATTAATATCTTTGTACATCCGGCACTAAACTGTTTTATTGTAGAGGTCACTTACAGTATCTTCTTGATATTTTATATTCTATATTTCTGTCATTGACCTTCTACTTTCCCCCTATTTTGTATGTACTCTTAATATTTTTTTCATCAAATATAACATATTCAACAACAAAATGAAATAACGTGCTTTTACCACTAGGAAGTGCGGGTTAGAAAACTGTCAAGTTCAAAGTGTTAACACAATAAATTATACTTTCCAGTATAAGTTTCCAGTTTAGTTCATGACGGATGTATTTTGTTATCCACACATATATATATTTTGATATTTGAACCTACACCTGCAACAGTCAAAGAGGAGTGTTTGAGGAGTTGGAAAGGTAGTTTCTGAAGATGTTACAAATAAGGTACACACAGCATACAATGCCATAATAACTTTGCATTATTAGTGTAGGACACTTACAGTATGTATGTATAACATCTGAAGATGTGTAGTTTTATTCATGTTTTCACATAATTTTACAGGATATTGCTATATTATTTCAGTTTTACTTCTACACATTAATATCTGATTTGTAAAACATCACAGACAGAAAGGCATATCCGTCGTTTAATGGTAAGCTATTGAAATTGTGATTCCATAGATGTATCTCCCATCACCCAAATCCCCTGACTATTCTCTCAACTCAGTATTTACATTCTTACATTCAAAGAAAATCAGTAATATCTTTAAAAAGTACAAGTCCCTTTCTATCAGCTGTGCACCGTTATGGTGTAAATACAGCCTATCTACCAATTGGATCAAATATAAAAGTCAGCCGAATTAATGTTGATACTGCAAGGAGATGTATTGTGTGAAGAGAAATTGAAGATGTTGTTTAATTGCTGATATATTTATGATCCACGTCACGTATTCAGTTTCGGTGGCATTTCTTCCTGTTTGTCTAGAAGTCTTCTCATCAGGGCTCTATAAATAAAGAACTACGGCAGATGTGTAATATTTAATGCAGCCGAACCGTGTATTACAATGCCGTTATGTGATGACTTTCAAAGAGAAAAGCAAGCACACTCAGATTAAAGTATTATTTTCTTTTTGACATTTTATTTTTGGATTTCATATCGCATTAACACCATATCCCAACGTGCATTGCGGCTAAAACATCCAATCACCGAGCTTCAACCATAGCTGTGGATCTTGGGTAATCAGTTCAGTGGGTGTGTATCGCAATGATGCTCGAAATGTCCCATATATAGGCCTACGTCTGTTCCCGGTGACTTTATTTTGAAATTCAGTTCCTGAAGGACGGCAAAAAAACCAGAGATTATAGAATTAAACAAACAAATAAAAACAAGGATAATAGTGTGTTATTGTTGAGTAAATAACAGTGGATTATTTAGAAAAGAATAACAAATTAGAAGGAAAAAAAGATTTAAAAAATACATATTTCAGTATTCTAAGCCCCATTTATTTTCCTCACGGACGGCAAAAAAAGTACGACATTATACGATTTAAAATAAGAACAATAATCGTGGCTTGATATTGAGTAAGAAAATGTGGTTTACAGATTACAGCTTTGCTGCCTGTGATTTCCAAGACGTGATGAGTTCTTGGCCAAGTAATATCTTTTGCTCTCTTTACAATAAATAGTTACACTTAGAAGTTGTCTGTCTTTTCTGGAATTCTGAACCCAACAATTGTCTTTAGCTGCAGGCTAACAGTTAGCTCATCTGTGTTGTCTTTAGCTGCAGGCTAACAGTAAGGTTCTCTGTGTTGTCTTTAGCTGCATGCTAACAGCAAGCTACTTTGTGTTGTCTTTAGCTTCAGGCTAACAGTAAGCTATTATGTGTTGTCTTTAGCTACAGGCTAATGTTTTGACCTTGTTGTTGCATTTTTTGTTATTTTATCTCCAGGGATACATTTATCTCTGATGCTCCAAGAAAACAGTGTTTGGTGATGTTTTGAAAGCGGCTCTGGGATAAAGTGCTGGAGCTGGTGTGTCTCTAAAGGGGAAGTGGAGCAGTGGATCTAATAAGCAGCTCACCAGATCCCTGTGGAGCACCCAGTTGGCATGGAGGTAATGGATCCCATCCAGAATCTGATGCAGGAGAGACTTCACCATTCCTCTGGGAAGCTGCATGGGTTTCTTGTTGGCCTTGGAGGCCCGGTGGAACTTGATGATGTGCTGTGAGGCAGAGAAAGGTTTCACCTCAGCTGCATGTGGACTGAAGAAACGTCCTAATGAAAACAACTTATACACATCTTGTTGCTGCCTGCTAAATAAAGCAATTCTGATTTATATACCTTGTCATTTAATTGTGTAACCCACTTGGAAGCTAGTGGTACAGAAGAGGTTTCCTACATTTACAGTAAACTAGGGTCAGAAGATGAATCAACACTTTGCTAGCTAGCCATTTTGGCCTGTTTTGGAAAGATAAATAGACCAGGGTCAGATTCAAACCCGGTCCACTGAGGAAGGATTCAGTCTGGTGCCTGAGCGCCCAGGCGACCATTCAACACAGTCTCACGGCATTTCGTGTTATAGTCACAAAATGTATCTATTGATTCGTGTTCACCAACATGATTTCGCCATTTTTTCCGTGTCACACAGAACGATTTTAAAAGCAATGTAAATAATAACAAATTAGAAGGAAAAACAGATGACAAAAAATACAGATTTCAGTATTCTGAGGCTCTGAGCCCCATTTATTTTCCTCGCAGACGGCAAAAAAACTCCGACATTATACAATTTAAAATAAAAGGGACAGGGTTAGGCTTAGGGTAAGATATTGAGTAAGACAATGTTTTTATGAACCAAACAGCTTCTGGTATTCCAAGACCCGACCGGACAAAAAGACGTGGTGCAGGCACGAAACATACTACGAATATAAATACATTGCTTTTAAAATCGTTCTGTGTGACACGAAAAAAATGCAAAAATCGTGTTGGTGAACACGAATCAATAGATTAAATTAATTTCGTGACTATAACACGAAATGCCGTGAGACTGGGTTGGACCATTTTGAAAATAAATGGTAAATTTGAGAAATTTGATCTGACAGATTATTTTTCTGGTGTTGTATGCACTGTAAAATATTTGACTGTAAAATTACAGTAAATTACTGGCTACTAGTTGCATGGATTTCACAGTAATTGACTGTGAATATTTCACAGTAATTGACTGTGAATATTTCACAGTAATTTACTGTAGATATTTTACAGTAAATTAGAATAAAAGTACAACTAAATACTGTGACTTTACAGTTGCCATGCCCATGGAATTACTGTGATATAGCAGTACAGAGCTGTGGTATTATGGTACCTTGATGTACATCAATTACAGTAATTACCTCTATTTTCACACTATTACTGTAGAAGTAATGCAACACAGTAGCCAGTAATTTACTGTAAATATAAAAATGTAAATAATACGATAATATATTGTAAATCTGACTAGTTAACTGGGATAACTACACAATTCAATCAGCTCAATCAACAAAGAAAAACAAAGAAAATGCCCATTTTAACTTTGTATTACTCCATTGAAGTGCAAAGTGCATTTCACAGTGTCTTGGACATGTTACGGCCCCAACCTCTACTCCGCTGTAGTGGCTCGTGCTGAGACATGAAAGAATACACACAATAACCGGTACTTGGTAACGAGCATTTATTGATAATCACCCGTTTGCTCACACAAGAGAAACGGGAAACAAAAAGAGGTCCGGAGGACTGGCCAAAAGGAACAAACAGCCAGAAATCAATTATAAACCCTATGGGAAACAAAATAAAGCTGCGAAAACTGGACTACCAGGTCCTCCAGGCTAAACATAAACACACCTGCAAAAATATGGCCTACAGCTCAAAATGGCAAAGAGGTATTCTAAGGAGAGTGTCTCCCGGCGTTAGGACAGGCGAGACATCCTTCTTCTCCAGCTTCTCTTTATATATACACATGGCTGAGTGGAATTTGGAACACCTGGGCAGAGGCGGAGCCAGGGGCAGACCAGGTGCACCTGGGCAGAGGCGGAGCCAGGGAGACAAGGAGGGGAGCACTTAACACATGTCTACACAGACATCCACTCAGTCAACAATTTTTCTGAAGAATGTGCTGACATGGGGGTTTAAATTGACATGCCTGTCTCAGGATTAATGCCCAGGAAGCACCTGAAAACAATAAGCCAAGACAACAATTTCAATTTTACATATGTTGCCTCATTTATTTTAAGGCACATGCAGCGGTGCCCCTTTCAATTTAAGTAAATGAAATTAGAAAGAAATTAGTATTTAAAGCCAAGCAAGAGCGATAAAAGCAAGAAAATCACTTAATTTGTTGTGTTATCACAGAGGATGGTCTGAATACAGTATTTTACGATGAAAATAATACAGTAACATGTTGTGAAATCCTGGTAATCATTTATCCTGTACATTCACAGTAATTAACTGTGCCTGTATTGATTTCACTGTGAAATTCTAAATTACAGTGTTATATTGTGAACATTACAGGTAAAGACTGTAAAGTGGTAAAACAGTAATTTATTGTAAAATATTACAGCTAAATATTGTGAAATCATGGGTATATTTTACAGTGTGGTGACTCTGGTCGACATAGTATTGTGTTAAGAAATGTATTTAAAAGCGAAGGATTCTGGAAGGAGACAGCACAACCATTATTAAGGATTACATAGTAACCACCATCTGAACAAGAGGACAAGTTTGATGCTGACATGAACTCTTAACTCCACATGCGAGCAGGCTTTATCTAGTATAATGACACAGTGAATATGTATTTTTTGTAGCAATAGCACAGAGAGAGTCACCCAAAGATCATGTTCAGCGTAGTCGAATAAAAGCCAAACCTTTCTGTCGCTGTGGAACAGGAAGACTTTCTGCAGTGCGATCACATTCAGGTGTTTCAGTTCTCGTAACAGCTGAAAGACACAATAGAAAAGTGTGCATCACTTTAAAGCAAGTCAGGGGATGTGATAAAAATGTCATTCAACATATTTTCTTGAAATATGTCATCATGTAGTATTGTTGTTGCAAACTAGACTGGCAAGAGTACAACATTAACAGATGTGTTCTTCTGGGAATTAGTAAGAAGGGACAAGTGCAATTGCTTCAATGCGACGGCACGTGAATAGCAGATGAAGGGTAAGGTTATTTACATTTTATGGGATTATGAGGACAAACTTTATCCTAAAACTTTTCAATATAAAATTGTTTCTTTGCATGATGTGCAAAAATGTGAGGAAAAATGTAATGTACAAAAGCACAGCCAAATTAATTTAGATTAGATTAGATTCAACTTTATTGTCGCTACAGAGCAAAAGTACTGAGACAACGAAATGCAGAATGCAGACCATCCTTTATAGTAAAGCACACAGATATTTATAGTAAAGCACACAGATATTGTTCTAAACTGTATTAAAGGTATTATCTTGAACTGTATTGAAGTGAACATGTATTATTTGGGACTGTTTTAAAGTAATCCTATATATATATATATATATATATATATAAACCTTCTCACTTACACTCACTGACCCAGATACCAGCACACACACACATACACCTCCTCTCACCAGCACACACACATATTCTTTTCAAGGTTCTTTCTGGGGCCAATATAATCTCAAGCACCAATATATCTGTGTACAATGTTTGATTGTCTGGAAAGGAATAGTTTGTGTGAAATCTTCCATGGGAAAGTAAAGGAGTGAAGTTAGGTGGAAGATAAAGATTGACTCTGCCTTTGTCTACTCACGCTCTGTTCAGAAGTCATGTACCAATATATCTGTGTACAATGTTTGATTGTCTGGAAAGGAATAGTTTGTGTGAAATCTTCCTTGGGAAAGTAAAGGAGTGAAGTCAGGTGGAAGATAAAGATTGACTCTGTCCTTGTCCGAAGCTGTCACGCTCTGTTCAGAAGTAATGCACCAATATATCTGTGTACAATGTTTGATTGTCTGGGAAGGAATAGTTTGTGTGAAATCTTCCTTGGGAAAGTAAAGGAGTGAACTCCGGTGGAAGATAAGAAGTGACTCTCCGCCCCAAATATGTCTATATATACTGTTGTTTATTCATGCAAAATGCCCCCTGTTTCTGACTGGCTGGTCCCGATATCTGTATCGCATGGCAGTAGAGCGGGGAGCCCGGAGTGTTCTGTTACAGGGCACTCTGTATTTTGTATTGTGTTTTTTACCATTAAAATCAGATTATTGTTATAACTTTTATGCCGGTGTTTTGAACTCCTTCTTTTATTAATCTGACCAGGCTCATCTAACGGACGGCGCGGAGCGGAGGTGGGCTTTAAGCCACCACTACTGTCTTTGCTCCTACAAACTGGTGACCTCCGACGTGATGAGTGCTGGTCTCTAGGAGGACCACCGACAGCCAGCGGACGGGATTCAGTCCAGGGGAGGACACCTGGACACCACTGACAACTTCACCAGGGCGTCCTACATGATACAAAGGTAAAACAGATACCTGTTGATTACCAAAATCTGTGATTTGGCTTTGCTACAACATTTTAGAGTTGTCAGCGGCGTTCTCAGTGTTCTTAGTCGCGGTAAAACATACAATACATATTTTAGTATAGGTAGGTAAGTTATAAAATAAATAAAGCAACGGTTAAAAGCTTCGTAGATTTTTCAGAATCATACGGCTAACTCGTTAGCTACAAGTGAAGCAGCGAAGTATTTCAGCGTCGGGTATTGAGTCTCGGACGGCTGAAGGGTATAGAGTCCCTAGCTTAAGTGACGGTATTGAGTCCTCACAAAGCTATACTTCCTGGGGGAGTCAAATGGTAGTATTGAGTCTCCATCCGTGACTAATCAGAATAACAAATCCAAGGCTCATAGGAGCTGGAGGTGCGTTATATTTAAAAAAATCCAAGAGGAGAAACAGGACCTAAAAAAGCCATTGAAATGAACGGATTTCTTACTGTCTTGTTCTGTTGGGTTTAACTCCCATTCTGTTGAAATAAATATTGCATCTTAAAAGCTGGACAGACAGCGAGGAGGATATATTTATGTGCTTGTGAATAAATAGAATATATTATTGAACATAGAATAGCCTTAGTCAGATAAAGAAATACGAAGTGATAATGGAAGGATACCATAGTTTCAAGAAAGCCCCCTTCTCTTGAAAAGACTTAGAGTTCCAGCCGGGAGGTTTCTGTCTTTGTCTGTGAGAGCCCCCCCTTTTCTCTCGATGCGGCTCTAATTGGGAGAGCAGCAGCCCGGAGTGTGTCTGCTTGCTCTCTTCTTTAATGCCTGAAGAAAAGGGAGTGGGTTTAAAACAAAGAGTGAAAGATCAACGAGTGATCTGAAGTTGGAGTGAATAACATTGAAAATTAATAGATCATTGTGTGATTTGAGGTGGTAGATATTGAAATAAATAAGAAACTATAATTTGTTGTTTTTAGCATAGTTTTTGTGGGATACAGTTACGTCACATTGTGGTTTTTATGAGAAGTTTTGAGAACTGATTGTTACTATTGCATTGCATTGTCAATTTCGTGGTATTTGTCATTAACTGAGAATTGTATTTAATTATATTTCTAGGAAAAAAATATATTAGGCTACATACAGTAACGTTAAGGGAAAGTAAAAAGTGGTTAACTGAGTATATGACGTACCTAGAAAGATTAATGTCTATAACAATTAAATATAATAGTGGATTCCACCTAGATTAGACATAGACAGAGGAGAATGTGTTAGACATGAAATAACGAACTCACTGTAAGAAATATATATATATTATAAATGTTATTTGGGAGTAGTATTCATCATACAATAGTGACTCTCATTTGATGGTTGTTTAAAGTAGGAAAACGCAAGCTATTCATCACAATTGTATTTTTAGGTTATGAATAAAACTAAAAGTAGTAAGTGATAAGCAGAAGGGTTTTTGAACGCTTGTCAGTCAGAAGGAATCTATTAATGTGTAGGACAGGGGTGCTTATGCCCGCTTCGGTTTTCAATGTCCGCCATCACGTTAAAACAGAGGATTTGTGGCATTTTCAGTTCATTGCTTACTTCCACACGCCTTTTCCCCTCCCTGTCTCTTTCATGACTTTATTTAATGCATTAGAACGATTGTTATCGTAACTTTCCGTGTTTTTAGAAGTCAAACTCACTGTTCATATTACGGAGTATATTTTCGGAACGGGCTTTCAAAATAAAAGCTACAGGCCGCTGTTCACCAGAGATGCCTTCACAATAAAACAGTAATTAGCTTAACAATATATTTAACTTATATTACGTCGTTAAACATTGATTTTAATTCATTACAGTTTTCAAATACGGCGCGGATTGAATACAGTTATTTGTGTATTCTGTTACAACCTCACCATGCTTGTAACACAACTTAGATAAACAATTTGAAAATGAATAGAATAACCAAGTAGATAAAAGATTAGTATAGTGGTTAAGGAGAGTTTCCTTGTTTTGCCTATTAACTTAGAACTGAAGTAATAAAGAATAGGCAGACTACTACCATTAGTTTGTTTTAACATTCACATGTTTCAGCATTCCTGACCTCAGCCGTTTTATTTTGTAACCCTTTGGGAGAGAGATTTAAATTGAGTTTTTCTCAGTAGCTGAATGGCTGTGATTACAGCAGCATTGGACAGTTGTGCACCACCTTTTGGGTTCTCTGAATCAGTGTGTTGGTGAGGAGTTGCTCACTGCAAACAGAAGAAGTGTGCAAAGAACGCATCTCTGAGGAGGTATTGACATTTTGCTTGTGCCTCGTTGCCAAGGCAACAGTGGTGTGAAGAGGTACTGCGGTTTTTGGGGGATTTCTGCTGTACAGAGGACAACGTGTGTCTGCCAAGTGATTCCTTCCCTCATCCCAATGCCAGGGAGAGTTTCCTTGAAGCCCACTGACCAGGGCCGGTCCTAGCTTTTTTGGGGACCCTGCCACTGACTACAGCTGCATCACTGACTGTGCTCATTATGACAAGATCTTGAGACATGCTTGTCTCAGATTGTTCAGACTCTGAAGGAATGATGCAATGATTTTACAGCATAATTGTGCAAGAGTTTCCCAGGGGGTGGTGTAGAAACCTTAATGCTTAGTGTTTAGATAAGAGGCTGCTTGTTTAAATGATGGTCTGGAATACTGAAAAGATTAAAGTTTAATATTCTTGTTTAGCAAACAAGACATCTGATTATTATGTCACACATAATAATCTTGACATAGAAACTAGCTATGGGTAAAACGTGTGGTTGTTATACCATTGTTATCATGAACAAAAGATAAATAAGGAAATAGTATCTGCTTAAAGATGAACGGATTTCATATCCTAGAGAGGATTAGTTATTGTGAATACTCCTCATCATTTCAGCGCTGGTTGTCTTGGTGGTGCCCAGCAAACAATGTACATTTTGACTTTGTAAATAATTGGACAGCCTTCTGGGGAAAACCTGGTCTGATTAAGAGGGACGGCATTCATCCTACTTTGGATGGTGCAGATCTCATTTCGGCAAACATTTCAGGGCTTTGTGGACTTAATCCATGACAAACTGGAGTTGAGACCAGGACGCGGAGTCGCAGTCTTACAGGCTTCTCTGCGCTCTCTCCTAGGCAGTCATCCATAGGAATCCCGAACCCAATAAAATACCCAATATTAGCGGTGTGTGTGTCTGCCCAAGGACAATTTAAGGTAAAACCTAATAGAGGTGTCATACATAATAACCTAATAAAAGTAAATGTAACAACTACTACAGTGCAAAAAAACAGGAATATTAAATGTGGTCTCTTAAACATAAGATCTCTAGCATCTAAAGAAATATTGGTAAATGATTTAATATCAGATTATAATATTGATATATGCTGTCTCACTGAAACTTGGTTGAGACATGAAGAATATGTCAGCATAAATGAGGCCACTCCACCCAGCCATATCAATACTCATATTGCC